AGTGACGTACAATACATTTAATGTAACATAGGGCTCCATCTCTAGAGAAGTGACGTACAATACATTTAATGTAACATAGGGCTCCATCTCTAGAGAAGCGACGTACAATACATTTAATCTAACATGGGGCTCCATCTCTAGAGAAGCGACGTACAATACATTTAATCTAACATGGGGCTCCATCTCTAGAAAAGCTACCTACAATAAACTTAATCTAACATGGAGATTCACAACTAGAGACGCGAGCTACAATACATTTAATATAACACAATAATCTACATTTATAGAAGCGACCTAGAATGTAGTTCATCTAACATGGGTCTCTATATAGAGTTATTTAGCAAGCGAATTCACATATAGAAAATTTATTAATATCACACGTTATCTAACATAGGACCCTACATTTAAAGGATGACCAAAGTCCTAAGGTATAGAAGTATTATATAGACTGGGATTCCACAACTATGGGAGTTTCCTGTGTTATAGGTCTAAAATTTTATTTCTCAGTGACCTATTGTACAGTTTGAGTAACTTGTGAGATTTACATTTTAAAAGGCTGTGGTGTAGTGCACGATATTTAATTAAATAAATTATACAGGTTAACAAGCATCACACTAACTGTATGAAGAGGTGTTCTATCGATGAACGATTTCATTTTCCTAAATATTAATTACTTTAATATTAAGGCGGGATTAACGTGAATTCAGAAACGTTCTTTTTTTTTCTTCTACTTTTCCAGAAATCAAATCGTAAATTTGTATTTACAAAGAGAAACAAACAAACCTGAAGCGTGTTTCTAAATCCTAAACACCTCTACAGATTTCTAATATGGTATTTGTAGCACCTCACTATAAAAATGATCCATTATATGTGTTAGGATCCATCATCCAGAGTTGGCTGGCGCGATTACTGTCATTTTTTTTTTATGGTAACTGGAAACTGTTAGAGGTTGTATATGGAATATTTTGTTTTGGGATTTTTGTCCGAGAAGGGATGAGGGCAGAAAACGCCCTGAACCATAACACACTTTTTTTATTATATACTTTGGCATTAAATTTAAAGACACAAGTTACGTAATAAATTAAATGAGTCTATTATTACCTTCCATAAAGCAGGATATGCAATTATCATCTAATGAGTTCATTAGGGATTTAACAACAAACGAAGGAAGGGGAACAAATTTCTAACATTGTCCTTTACAGAGTTTTGTTCATTAGGGATTTAACAACAAACGAAGGAAGGGGGAACAAATTTCTAGCATTGTCCTATACAGAGTTTTTGCTTCATTTGCGGGTACTTTCACCTGGTTAAGATAAAGTACATTTAATGAGATTAAAGAAGATTCTGTGAATGTAATGACAATTAAACTTATTTATAATATAATGCTTTGGTTTATAGCTGTATGCAATCAAACTATGCTATATATATCCTTTAAACACGTTAAGCCTATCCTGTTACGTTTGTATTAACTTTTTAAGTTCGTGTCCCGTCATCTAATGGAAATGACGCTCGGTGTAAATACATATAATTAAACATGTATCATATGCACTCACTGATTTGTAAGTGTACTCTTTATGTTGTCAAGAAAACTGATATAATCAAAATTCGTAATTACAAACTTAAGGCTAATAAGCAGTAACATTCAACTGCACTTAATAGACTTTGGTCGAATAATCAGACTTTCAAGTATTAAAATCGATTAATTAAAACTCGTGACAAAGAATACAATTATGTATCACTGAATGATTGCTTATTACTTGTTACTCTGTGAGATTCTTGATATAAAATCGATTGATTAAAACTCGTGACAAAGAATACAATTATGTATCACTGAATGATTGCTTATTACTTGTTACTTTGTGAGATTCTTAATATAAAATTTATCCTTCTGTAACCTCAAGCATATTTATGTTTTTAAAAGTCTACACTTGAATGCTGTACCAGTACGTTAAGATTTTTGTACTTTCTTAAATTCCGCCGATTTAAAACTATTTCAGTGTTTTTATTAGTTTCTTTTGCGATAGCACTTGGAAGTTGGCCTTTCTGAGATGTTGGTCTGGTGGGTATACACGGTGGTCATTTATGTGATTGATTAGATGGTGTGTTTTAGTCTTATTCTAGTTCCAGTGAATAGAATCAAGAGATTTGGTGTATTCCTGTATTATCTCTATTTGTACATTTGTAGAACACTGTATGATTTCTACGTCTATGTTTTAGTAGTTTACTTTAGGAAAAACCAACAGAAAAAAATAAAATAAAAGTAAAACACTTATGCTATTTCAGTTATGGACTTCGGTCTTAACTTAGTTTGTCATCAGTATAATGCTTGTTATGTATGTATCTCTCTCGTCAAAAATACCACACCTCTGCAAAAAGTCCATGAAATAAGAGACATACTGTTACTTAGTAACCTTCCTTTCTGTCATTGCAGTGGACGTAACGGTAAAAGAAAAAAAAAGCATTTTACTGCAACCAGTGGTTTAAGTAAGAGTTTACTAATATATAATTCTAATCAGTCAAGCCCGGACTTACTAAGTGCTAACTCATGTCTAATTTGGCCAAATAATAAGTCGAAATGAAAAAGGAATAAAATATAGCAGGTTTATTTTAACGCATTTTCATCAAAAGTTTATAAAAAGTACTATAAAATAGTATGGCTGTAGCAATAATTTATTACAAATCTACTACCTTCCCCTCACTTTCATTCATCCTATATGGCACTTACATCTTGGATATCTTACAAAATTGTGACACACACCTATAATGTGTCATTTCTATTCTGATATTACAAACTCTAATTTCAAATTTAATAACACATCAACATGTTTCACCTCTCATTAGGCATACATAAACACTGTATGTATTTTATGCAGGTATGTAAAGGACATCTGAGAACAAACTAAAATAAATATAGATACGTACACTGTATGTGCTTTTTAGTTGTGGGAAATATACTCACGTACTTCTGTTGGCAATAATTAATAAACAGGAAGATTCAAATGATAAAAGAACAACGTTAGAATGTGTTAAAATAACCCTGTAAACTTATGAATTAGTCTATAGAGTTAGCAGCAAGACAGCAATAAGTTCCTTTACTAAATACTAAAACTGACAATATTGGAAATTCTGACCGAGTATACGTGAGAAACTCACATTAAACTATTTTAGTTGCATTGAATAGACCCTCCATATTTGTTATATAGATGTTCTATGATATAACGTTGTTGGATATTAAAAACAACTTTTCCTTTATTATGTCACAGTTGCTTGCATCAAAAAGGGTAATTTTTCAGCAGTGTATTCTGTCTTTTAAAGAAGAAAAACAATGGCTTTGTCTCCCACCTCTGTTGTGCACGTTTTTTAAATGAGAATTATGATTCGTGCTAGCTTTCCGTTTGTCCACACGAGATGTTTCACCTTAAAAACGAAACAAAAAGTTTGAGTTAACGATCAATTGCGTGAATGTCTACATGTGTGATAACTCACACATGTTACACACACATGTATTTTACTTTGTACAACCTATACATTGTGCATGAATATGTGTCCTATCTAGATATGGTCACTGTGAATGTAGACGTGTTTGTATTACACATACTGTATTCAAGCTTGTATTTTATTTTATGTTGATTGTACAAAGTTTTACAATATTATGTAAAACACGATGCATAAAATCTTAAATATTTCACACGTGAGTCCGCGTGTAAGGGTTAATATAATGATTCAACAAAACACTGGTAAAAATGGAATCAGTAATAATGCAAAGAGGCAAAAAGATGGTACCGGTATTGATGACACTGACAAAAGTAGCCCGAGCTCTGTATTATTATATACTATAACATTTTACCACTGCCATTTGCCCGAACTTTGTATTATTATTATATACTGTAACATTTTACCACTGCCATTTGCCCGAACTTTGTATTATTATTATATACTGTAACATTTTACCACTGCAATTTGCCTGAACTTTGTATTATTATTACATACTGTAACATTTTACCACTGTCATTTGCCTGAACTTTGTATTATTATTACATACTGTAACATTTTACCACTGCCATTTTTTCTTCGATTCCTGTTGAGGTGCCGCAATATTTCGTGCCAAGAGATTAATCATGTTATAACCTTCCTTATCAGGGGTGCCAGCAGAAAATATATAACCCTCTGTAAGGAGTGTCTTGGAGGTATCACAGCAAAGAGGTGAAGACCTCCGGACCGCCGCGGTTATAGCGAAAGTTATATATTTTCTAAATTTTGATATCCTTTCTTGACTGGAGAGGTGCCACTGATATCCCTGATTTTTTTCCTTTTCACATTGGAAATATTTACCGAGTTGCATGAAAGTTAGTATATACTTGCTAAGTACCATCAAGTCTGGCTTTAAAAAGTCATATAATCTGGATTGTTATTTCTATTATTTTTGTTGCTATTTTGAACATCAAAAATGCTTCCGTTAGTCTCAAAATATATTGTTAGTAAGTTCCATTTTAATATATCCAGCGAGCTTTAACTTGATTCATATTCAATAATATATATTGCCTGTTGTAGTAGGAACCACTTCAGTTCCGGCTATAAGTCGTATATATCACAACAAAAACGGACAAAGATTTATCGGCAACCTAAGGCTCCACCTTTCAAAATGGCGTCGCCGTTATCTTTGTCAGAATATGTATCGTGATTTTTGGTAAAAATATTTTTAGTTGAGATCAATTATATCCATTATTTTCATTAAGAAATGTGTTATTTTATTTGTGTGTATTGTTTAAATAAGACAGACTTAACAATAGTGTTCAAGAAATAAGTATTTAAGTCATTGGATTATTTTGCGGTCTGTAAACATAAGTTTATCTGATATTTCATTATCGAAGTATATTTCTGTAGCTTTCAAATATAATTTAACTTAAAGGCATTTTCAGAAACGGAAACAACATGTAAAGAAACTATAAAAAAAAATTCCAGATCTCTGATTTGTTCCTAATTCTTCCTAGCCTTCCATTAGTTTCCTTTATTTACCCACACAAGATCACCAGTGAATGGTATCTCGAGAAACCATAACAACGCACACTACTTTATTTACTCTACAATGACGTAAAGAATTTATAATCTGCTTTATCCAATCGTATTTAAACGTTGTTACAATTATTTTGAAAGCTGAGCTATATTAGAATTGTCAGATCACATGCTGTGACATCATAAAAGGGGTGGTAACGAAGGGCTGTAGTAATAAAACCACAAACCACAAAAGAAAATTGTATGAGAAGCAATACATAAATCACTATATTTTGAAGGAAGAATAGTTTTTTATCAAATATAAACCTGCCCTTTGGAATGTAGAGAAAGATTTTAAAAAAATCAATATATGCGTTGTTTGGAGCTGTGCATAATTATAATTACAAATTACGTTAAATAATGTTGCTACATGACAAAATAATAGTTCTAAAATATTTTAAGCAAAAAGTGTTGAAGTTAAATTTGATTTATTATTGTTACTTAAATTTTAAGATGGTCACTGGTAGTAACAGAGATAAATATTACTTTAAATTGTTATATAGTAAACATACACATTATTTGTCAAGTATGAGCCCAGTATCTATTTCTTAAATTAAAATATTCACTGCTAATTCAAATGACAACCTATGACGTCTGTTGTTAAATTACCTTTGACGAGAAGGTTACTTGCGTCAAATTAACGTTTTAGTTTTTTTCCTTCTCTCAATAATACTTGTTTAAAGGTTTCAGATAATAAATACGTCTGCAAAAGTAACACCTGTAATAATGATAAGTGGGAATTTGTTTATTACATAAAAATCATAAACGTACAATTTTTTGGTGGGGAGGAAGAAACGATGCAATTTTTAACGTGCAGCTTTTTGTCCACACTTTGTGTTATAAAACTTGTACAATTATTAAAAAGCTATTTTACCTGGGATTCACCGTGATTTTTATTGTCAGAACATCAAACAGGATTATTCTTTTAAAATCTTGCTTATCAGAGGATGTGGAAAAAAAAAATAACCCTATGCACGAGAGGTCTGGAAGGTGTCGCAAGGGGAAGGCCTGTAAAAAAAGGAAATAAGAGCAACACTCCCAGAGAATTTTTTTTATACAACCTTTTCAAATTATTTCCCAACCCTTTGTTTTTATTTTTATTGTCTTAATTTCGGTTTGATTTTTTTTTTCTGGAGAAAAACCCTACACATTTGCTTGTTGTTGAGAGGAGCGAAGCGACCCTGTTTATAGCATGTCATCAAATTGTTGTAAAAGAATCATTTCAGGTGCATGAGTTAGTCCTAATAAAAATTAAAATAAATTTATGAACCACGACGGAAACGGTAAGTGTGCTTAAATAGAAAACTATATTCCTGCTTGTTATAGGCTGACTAACTCGTACTCGTATAAAACAGACTTCGAATCTCCATGTCTCGGTTTTATACAAGGCTATACATATTTCTGTATGCACATATCAGTCTTTTTCTCATATACAACAAACAGTTCAAGTAATATGGATGCAAGTGCTTAGCCTCCATGACTACACCTCCCACCAAGCAGTTTGTCCTGTCTATACTTTAAACAAGGCACGATCACTACAAAAAATATCAGCTAAAAATATAAGCCATCTGAGTTTGAGATACCTTTAATGAACTGTTTGTGTACCATGACTGTTTGATTAGAACCGTTACAGTTGTGTACCATGACTGGTTGATTAGAACCGTTACAGTTGTGTACCATGACTGGTTGATTAGAACTGTTACAGTTGTGTACCATGACTGGTTGATTAGAACCGTTACAGTTGTGTACCATGACTGGTTGATTAGAACTGTTACAGTTGTGTACCATGACTGGTTGATTAGAACCGTTACAGTTGTGTACCATGACTGGTTGATTAGAACTGTTACAGGATCCTTAATCACATATGAATCACACAAAATATTTAAACAAAAAGTACTGTTAGTATTAAAATTAATGCCACTAATCACCGATATTCAAAGTACTTGCAGTTATATTTGTGTGTGGCTCTACTCGGGGGTGTATCAGTATAGAGTTTTACCATAATACAGCAGCGTGCATAGTTTGAAGGTTCATATAAATTTTGAAGTTTGTCGTAGCGCAAAATCATGAAATAAAATACGTTATAATAATATAAAATATACTCATGGAAACATGCCTGTGTTTTTTATAAATTCATATGTTTTTATGTGTAATACGTATATTATTTCGTGTACATATTACATATATGACTGCACATATTTGGTGTGTTCTCAAAATTAATAAGCTGTAACGCAAAAAAAGGAGTATTTTTGAACAAATTAAAAATACTGTTGGTATTCTATTTATTACTAAATTCGTTTGGTAGTATAAATATTAAACATTAATACTGATATATGAATATTAATACAAGATTGAAATAGCAAAGAGTGTGTATATGTTAAGCATAAAATACTGAGTGAAATGATACATCCATATAATATAAATTATACATCAAAGACTCACCAACAACAGTCCCTCCCCAAGGCTCTCTCATGAACGTTTGTCGTCTGCGGAAGCCAGTAATGGCTCCTCAAGTGCCCTCCTGTTCATACATTTTCATTAGGACAATTGCCTTGTTGCTGGTGTCACCACTTAGCAACTGTTGTCCTCTCGATACACCAAATTAGAAGGGACGAGATTCAATCATGAATTGTGATTCAGTTTTTCCTCACGTTCCACAGCGTCCGTGTGAGCCAGCTTGGCGCGTAACCTCACTCTCAGGGCTTGTTACTTTCGAGTGAAATCGCGAAGGAGGAGTTTGCCTGGTTGATTGACATAGTTACCATAGCAACATCAGCAATGGCTTCACTCTGATGCTAACCAAGCGGAGGGCCTTCGGCGAGAGCCAATCACGATCGCGAAAACGGTCATTGCCGGCGCCTAGAAAATGATAATATCAAGATGAATCACTTAGAGTGTGGCGTGTTCTCAAGAGTCGGTGTTGCCTGCAGAGATAGTTTCAGTTCAGACGACGGTAGGTACCTACATGACTAGAGCTGTAAATTCTTGGTCCTGAAGGAACAAACTCGCAGACTTCACGAAGTAATTCTGGTATAGTTCCACGAAGCAAGCATAATCCATGATTGTTGGCCACATGAACGACAGTGTGGCGGGTCCCCACCTATCTGCAGTTTCGAGCATGTTGTCCCAGACTTCATGCCCCAACGTCAACCCCTCCTCCCCCAGTCCCATGCTCCCGTCGTTTGGATTCACGCAGGAGCAGGTAGCCTGCGTATGTGAAGTGCTTCAACAGTCCGGTAATATTGAAAGGCTCGGCCGGTTCCTCTGGTCTCTACCGGCCTGTGAGCATCTTCAAAAGAACGAAAGTGTGCTAAAGGCTAAAGCTCTTGTAGCTTTTCACCGAGGCAACTTCAAGGAACTATATCGGATCCTGGAGAGTCACAACTTCTCGCCGGCCTCCCACTCGAAACTCCAAGGACTCTGGCTCCAAGCTCATTACACTGAAGCAGAGAGAATCCGCGGCCGGCCATTGGGTGCAGTCGGCAAGTACCGGATCCGCCGAAAGTTCCCGCTGCCTCGAACAATATGGGACGGCGAGGAAACTAGCTATTGCTTCAAAGAGAAATCACGGAACGTACTCCGAGACTGGTACTCACACAATCCTTACCCCTCACCACGTGAGAAGCGCGAGCTAGCTGAAGCCACTGGACTGACCACCACTCAGGTCAGCAACTGGTTTAAAAATAGAAGACAAAGGGATAGAGCGGCTGAAGCGAAAGACAGGTAAGAAGCTTCTTCTGAATGTTTCTAACAAAGTGATGGAAAAATTAAATAAGTAAGTTATTAGCACAACAACCAGACTCAAAGGCAAGTTAACCACGTTGAGCTTATTGTTACTGGTTTAATGCAAACTGTTAGGCGAGTGAGGAGGTTAAATAAAGCTTAACAGTACAACTTATTATTTTCCCCCACGCAAGTTATAGGTATGATTTCACAGATAATACAATAACTGATGTGAGACATATATTCAAATTACAAAACGAGAAACAGGCAGATCTCAAAGCTAAATGTTGAGAAGAGAGAGAGGTTTATTACTTTCTTGTTTTTAGTTTTAATAGTTATATTTGGAATATGTATAGAACACTTTTGCTTATTGGAATATCGTTAATATTCTAATCTATGTGTTTCTTACAAACAATTATTGACATTAACGAAATGTGTATTGAAATATTTTCATGACCGAATATCGCATTGTTACTGATAAATATCTCTATGTTCCAGTTGTTACAAAAGGTTCTATCTGTTGCACTGTTCCAAGCTTCACACCAGGTTTGTTACTATACTGCGCATGAGCAGATCGTCGACAGCTATGAATAGGCACTTTAATTCAAACTTTCCTATTGCATTATAGTGCTACTTCTATTAAGCCAGCGTTATTGAGTGTACACGTTTTCTGAAAATGATTTTTCGATCATCATAAATTCGGACTTTAAATTACGAAAACAAGTATTTTAATTTAACAACTGCTACACTGTATTAATTGATAATCATTCGCTTAGTTGAGAACCAAAGTATATGATTTAGAAAGCTCTTTTATAAAAACAATTTCTGAAAGAAAAAGAAATTAAACATGGAACCAGAGTTCCCAGCTTTGAAAGCAGTGTTACTCTAAAACTAAGTGAATTTATCAAATTGTTTCGAAAATTGAAACAGTTCATCTCACCTCTTAAGTCTATATTTCAACTTTTTTATTTCATTTGTGTTAGATAGACCATCAGTATGAAATTACATATGTGTATATAGCTATAATTAGTCAAATACACAAACTGTACATACATATATAGATATACAGGATTGTTAAAAAATTAACCCTCTTATTGACAATGTCTAATATTACTAAAGAAATAAACAACCACTGTTGCCGTTCTTAAGTTTTTAGAAAGTACTCGTAAAACAGGGTTTAACAATTTAATTATACCTCTGAATATGCCATCAGTAACATAATGAAGCCTAGTAAATTTTTTGGCATCTCATTAAATAGATCTAAGTAATTGTATATTTTCAATATCTAGATTTTTGTCCACTTCAGTATGATTTTATTTTATTTCATGAAGTTATTATAGTAACATACGATACAAAATGCTATTTATTATAAAACATCTAATATACGATTAGTATATATATATATATATATATGAAGGGTAGTATTATTCCTAAGACAACTTGGGTAAATATAACGTACCACCAATAATTCATTGCATGTCAGCTATTTCTAGACAATTAATTTCATTGTGCTCATACATTTGTAACCATATGTTCTGCGTATAAACCTGTCATCATAACGGATTATAATGCAATATGTGTATTATCAATAGTATTACCCCGGAAGAAATAAAACCGACACATAAATTCAAGAGGAGTGTTCGACACAGCTGTACTCAACGGCATGTACTACGAAGCACTTGAGAAACATATTTATATAGTTATTGTGATAAACATATGCATTGCTATATCAATATGATAATCATACACATTTGCTAGCTTATCCTCGACTTGCATTATTTGAAAGCCGTGTATTACATTAGGTTTTAGCATAATATGTAGAATAGGTATAAGAGTAATGAATTAAAAGTACTCTAGAAATTATTGATGCAAGCAACAATTATGCAGTAACAAACTGCTTATTTACTGATGAAAGCAACAACCATTCAATAACAAACTGTTTATTTACTGATGAAAGCAACAACTATTCAATAACAAACTGTTTATTTACTGATGAAAGCAACAACTATTCAATAACAAACTGTTTATTTACTGATGAAAGCAACAACTATTCAATAACAAACTGTTTATTTACTGATGAAAGCAACAACTATTCAATAACAAACTGTTTATTTACTGATGAAAGCAATAATTATTCAATAGCATGCTGTTTATTTACTGATGAAAGCAACAACTATTCAATAACAAACTGTTTATTTACTGATGAAAGCAACAACTATTCAATAGCATGCTGTTTACTTACTGATGCAAGTAGCAATTATACAATAGCGACCTGTTTTTTTATTGATGCAAGAAGTAATTATGCAATAACAAACTATTTATTGGTACAAGTTGCAATTATTCCTTAACAAATTTATTTATTTCTTAAACGTTTGTACTAACATACATTGCATGAAAACATAAACGAATATACCTATTTTTTTGTAGCGAGCCAAAATTGGTTTTGATAACAAGTATAAGAAATAAAAAGTTTCAAAGTTTATGTGAAAGTATGTATGATGTAAAATTACCTTGAAATTGTTTTAAATACCCTTAAATTACTATTAACATGCTCAAAATATTATTCATATATATATAAACACATACCTGTATGATAAATGTAGAAACTTACAACCTAAATGCATAACTCGACAAATAAGGCTTAGCTTGTAAGACAGGAAATCTGTTTGTCATTCCGTAAGTTTTTACAGAAAAGCTTTGTGTTGTTTGGGTATTTTTATCATTGCTCGTAATAAAACGTAAACCTTTCACTATTTATTTAATTTTTAAAGTAAAATATATGTTATCGGAATCTTTGAAATTAAGGAAAACTGAGACTTATAGAAGTAAATGCGACATTTACAATGGCAACTTATGTATAATATTATTTCATCCTT